CCAGAGCAGCCAGTGGTTAGAAGGCTGCTCATTGCCAAGCTTAAGTGTCTCAGGATTCTGGAAGGCTGAACCCTAAGGGAATCATGCTTTCTTTGGTGGATTATTTTTTTTTCAGGCATTAAAAGCTGTGACCCCAAAGGACCCCTTATGATGTATATTTCCAAAATGGTGCCGACCTCTGACAAAGGCCGGTTCTATGCCTTTGGTCGAGTCTTCTCAGGGCTGGTGTCCACCGGCCTGAAGGTCAGGATCATGGGGCCTAACTACACACCAGGCAAGAAGGAGGACCTGTACCTGAAGCCAATCCAGAGGTGAAGTGCTTGGCTACTCATTTGTGACCCAAGGCTGGTCCCAGCCCTCCCTCCTTGCTCTAAGCTGCAGGAGTAGGAGTTCAGAGGGGTTTATGTGAAGTGCCCAGCAGGATGTAGTGTTGAGCCCTCTGGCCACCTTTTGTCCTCAACCTGGAGAGGCTTGTCTGGATGAGGTACAACAGGAAGCAGGGGGCTCACTCCCCCTAATGTTCAGGGTAGAATCCCTTCCCTGAGTTAGGGGCAGGTGTTCCTGATCTCCCAGCAGTGGCAACACAGTTTATTCTTACCTACCCAGAGAGCAGGTGCTGACCTCAGAGATGTCAGTCTTATGTCAGCCCTACCCCTAAACCTACTCTAGGCATTGGTGGTGGGAAGATAGAACTTTGACTCCCTCCACAGGGGTTGCCCACACCACACTGCCTTTTCTCAGCCCTGGGTCAGGTGTGTGGAGCCCTGCATGGGGGATGTAGGAATGGCAGGTAGTGCTCTGTCTTGGTACACAGGAGCCAGCACTTTGTTGAGACAGTCACCTGGGTTACAGTGGAGAGCCAAGGCTTGACGTCCTAGGGGTGGCACCACCACTCAATGCAGGAGGGATGACCACAGGCTCTGGAAGGAAGGAGGCTTTGTCTTCCAGCCATTCCCGGACCTGGCACCACAGTGGTGTTGATTGATACCTTTTGTCTCTCCCCCAGAACAATCTTGATGATGGGCCGTTATGTGGAGCCCATCGAGGACGTGCCTTGCGGGAACATTGTGGGCTTGGTGGGTGTGGACCAGTTCCTTGTGAAAACAGGCACCATCACCACCTTCGAGCACGCCCACAACATGCGAGTGATGAAGTTCAGCGTGAGCCCTGTCGTCAGGGTTGCCGTGGAGGCCAAAAACCCGGCTGACCTGCCCAAGCTGGTGGAGGGCTTAAAGCGGCTGGCCAAGTCAGACCCTATGGTGCAGGTAGGCAGGTATACCCTGGCAGGAGGCACCACCACCACCTGCAGTGTCTGAGCTGAAAAGATTGGGTGGTTTCTCATATAAGGAGGGACTTCCAATTGGAACTGTTTGGAGATTCAGGTGTGTGTGAAACACACACCATCCCCAAAAGAGCTGTGGCCCTTTTCTTAAAAAGTACGGATTTTTATTGATTTCAGAAAGGGAGAGCAAGAGAGAAACATCAATGATGAGAGAGAAAAAAGTACGTATTTTTATTGATTTCAGAAAGGGAGAGCGAGAGAGAAACATCAATGATGAGAATCATTGATTGGCTGCCTCCTGTACACCCACACTGGGGATTGAACCGTGACCTCCTGGTTCATAGGTCGATGCTCAACCAGTGAGCCATGCTGGTCGGGGGCTGCTGCTCTTTTTAATGTCAGTTTACTGTCCAGGAGCCCAGGTCTTGGATTTCTATAAACTGGCTATAGATGATGGGTCTTTTTTTTTAGGCTAACACTGAGAACCAGCAAATAAAGGCTCATATGACTCCTTGCTTCCCCCCACGGGCCCTGAAAATGTCCCTAAAAACCTCCAACTAGAAAGGGATGCTTGGAGCCTGCCATTCTCCACTCCCCAGTTCCTTGGGTTTTCCAAGTAGTTCTCTGGGTTTGATTGTTGGATTAACATATGGCCTCTTTCAGTGCATCATTGAGGAGTCAGGGGAGCACATCATTGCTGGGGCTGGTGAGCTGCATCTGGAGATCTGCCTGAAAGACCTGGAAGAGGACCACGCCTGCATTCCCATCAAGGTGACGCATGCTGTCCCTGGTAGGGGTAGGGATGGATGGCATGTAGGGATGGCAGAGCCCTTGTCCAGGCTGGGCTCTGATGATTCCCTCCTTTCCACCCGCGCCTAGGACATTAGGTGACTTCCCCATGTGAAACCAGCAGTTCATACACATCCTCAACAGCTTTGAGGTTGGAGTGTGGGAAGTCTGCTTTCCAAAATCTCCAAATACAGCTTCTAAAGAGCATAGACATTTAGTAGCCAACCTTAGGCCCAGTTTCTGGCCCTCTATTTTTCATTCTTTACTTTTTCAAATAACTGAGCTTGGATCCGTGTTCATTAAGTCCCTTAAAGGCATTCCGCTCGTAGAAATACAACCCCCCCCCAGTTAACTGCTTTTTCATCTTGTCTTCCATGTGTCAAAATAGGATTAGGCCAGTGCCTACATTTTGCATATTTCTTCTTTTCAAGTAATAACTGCATAGAATTTCACAAAATAAATTATTCTTTAGCCAGTCCTATTGGCAGTGGGTAGCCCCCTGCAAGGGAAGAGCTGCATACTTTGTATTTATGCAGAAGTGAGATGTGCATGGCTCTGTGCTACTAAATTAGTCATTCTGAGTTTTGCGCCCATTACCCGTCTGTTTCCTGAGTCTTATTAGGAGACCCCTGTCCTGGGCGGTCACTTCCTCCTGCAGACCTGACTTCCATGCTCCTTTTGCAGAAATCCGATCCTGTTGTCTCCTATCGTGAGACAGTTAGCGAGGAGTCGAATGTGCTCTGTCTGTCCAAGTCTCCCAATAAGCACAATCGACTGTACATGAAGGCGCGGCCCTTCCCTGACGGCCTGGCTGAGGACATTGACAAGGGTGAAGTGTCTGCCCGCCAGGAGCTCAAGCAGCGGGCCCGATATCTGGCTGAGAAGTATGAGTGGGATGTGGCTGAGGCACGCAAGATCTGGTGCTTCGGGCCCGATGGCACTGGGCCCAATATCCTTACTGACATCACCAAGGGTGTGCAGTATCTCAACGAGATCAAGGACAGCGTAGTGGCCGGCTTCCAGTGGGCCACAAAAGAGGTGAGGGGCCATTTGGTCATCCAGCTGAAAAGTTATTAGCATCAGAGTCCATCAGTGGGACTTTGGCATAGGCCCAGTCTCACCTGTGCAGACTTTTGGTGGGGATGAAATCCTTGGGGTTACCTGTTTTCATTTCTGTTAGTGAAGTGGGGCCAGTGGTCCTACCTCCTGAGAAGGGCACGCTAGGGAGGGTGAGCAAGGCAAGAGATGTAAGGTCTCTGGTTGCAGACCTGGAGGCTGGCACAGCACAGTTGTGTGACTTGGCCTTTCCCTCTCAGGGAGGACTGCAGTAGAGGCAGGAGCTTGATGGTGAATTTGGCCCCTTCCTCTGTAGGGGGCACTGTGTGAGGAGAACATGCGTGGTGTACGCTTTGATGTCCATGATGTAACACTGCATGCTGATGCTATCCACCGAGGGGGTGGCCAGATCATCCCTACAGCCCGGCGCTGCCTCTACGCCAGCGTGCTAACTGCCCAGCCCCGACTCATGGAGCCCATCTACCTTGTGGAAATCCAGGTAGGGAGTCCTGATTGTCCTGCTGCTACTGGTCCCCTTCCCACCGAGCAACTGCTAAATAGCCTTTTATTGCCTGACAGTGTCCAGAGCAAGTGGTTGGTGGTATCTACGGAGTCCTGAACAGGAAGCGGGGCCATGTCTTTGAGGAGTCCCAGGTGGCTGGCACCCCCATGTTTGTTGTGAAGGCCTACCTGCCTGTCAATGAGTCCTTTGGTAAGTGCTTGCTGGGTGGCTCTCAGATGCCCACAGTCCACTGTCCCCCACCCAGACTGATCCAGGATAGACTCATTTCTTGCCCCTTATGCAAGGCCCAGAGTGAGGCAGCCTAATGGGAGCCATGGATGTAATCCGCAAACTGCTCCCCGTTCCCCTGTCCATTTGGGACGTAAGAGCAGCATGGTTATGTAGGAGGAGAAGAAGGTGGCCCACTTCTTGTGGACCTCTGAATTGATGAATTGGGGGGGAAGTGGTCACTCAGGTGTGTAAATTTGTGAGATCTGAAGATCGAGTCTGGCAGAGAAGTAGCTCAGGCTCACCCTCAGGGTGAGCAGCTGGAGATTGAGGTGGGCCAGCATTACCTCACTTGTTCAGTAGTGGTCTCTGAGCAAGCCTGGGTGAGGAGCAGGGTTAGGGGGTTTAATGTCTGATCCCATCCAGGTTGTCTAGTTTCTGATCTCTCTGGTGTGAGTGTCCCCACCTCCAGACTTGGCCAGCGTACCAAGTCTGGACTGCCCAGCGAGCCCTGTACCTGCTTCTCCCACAGGCTTCACTGCCGACCTGAGATCCAACACAGGTGGCCAGGCTTTTCCGCAGTGTGTGTTCGACCACTGGCAGATCCTGCCCGGAGACCCCTTTGACAACACCAGCCGCCCCAGCCAGGTGGTGGCCGAGACACGTAAGCGCAAAGGCCTGAAGGAAGGCATCCCAGCTCTGGACAACTTCCTGGACAAATTGTAGGTTGCCCTTCCTGCAGCCTGCCTCCCAGGTGCCACCCCCCTCACCGGCTCATGATCAACCACAACAAGCCCTCATTCTCCACAACATCTTGAGACTGTCCAGACACAGTGCCGCTCGCCTGGCTGGTTCTGGGGCCACTCTGTGCCATCGCTCAACATGAACACTTGATGCTGTTTCTTTGTATATTTATTTCAAGATTTCAGAGGCAACAGAAATGCCCTGGCTACAGGGACTTATTTGGCTGGTGGGGGAGGTGGGATGGGACACCCAACACTTCTTTCCATTTCTGAGGAAAACTCAAATGTCAAAAAAAAGAAAAAGAATTAAAACGCATTAAGAGGTTTATTTGGGTAAATGGCCCACAGTGGATTTTCCCCCAGAAAGGGGGAAAGAATAAGCAGGTAGACATTTCTGTTTGGACAGAAGCTAGAAGGCAGGAAATTTTGTGCAGTGTCACCAGAGCACCTCAAAGCTGTATTAGTGCCATTGGAATAATAAATTTGATTATGGTGGTGATTGCCTTTGTCTGTTGACTTCCTTCTCCGTTCACTCAGGCTGGAATGGACTTTCTTATGCCAGTATGCGTAGCTGTGGGTTATACTGTCATACAAAAAGTTCAATGTAACACTGAAGTGTCAGTTCAAATATAAGACTACCAGGGCTATCTAATGGAATTTGTGTGGTGGTGAACCAGTCTTAACTGGAGGAGCAGCCACTATCTATGTGGCTAGACAGCAGTGGAAATGTTCGGGTCAGTGTAGCCAAGGAACTGATTTTAAGATTTCTTAAAATTGGTTTTTAGGCAGCAATTGGGGGAGAGAAACATTGATCAGCTGTGCCCCACCTTGCCACACACAGCATGACCAATCTGGCAACCTGGTGCAAGGCAGGAAACCCAACCAACCACTTGAGCTACACTAGCCAGGGCAAGGAAATTTAAAGTTTTAACATTACATTTTCATGGTTTGGTCGTGTTGGGGCTGCCATAATGGTTAGTGTAGGCATGGACAACTAAATTGTCCCTGCTCATGGAGTCCATGGTCCAATGGGGAAAGCCACAAATAACCACACTTACCACACATGTTCTCTTGTCCAGCTAGACTCTGGACTTGGCATCCTCAAGTCCCACCAGATCATTCCTGTTGATGAGAATTTTTTACCATTATCTCAATCATTGCTTCACTATAAAATATGCTTGAGTAATTTCATACCTACAAAAGCGTTGCAAAGATGTTAGATAACCTCTTGCATAACCACTGTACATTTGTCAAACCTTGAAAACATTGGTATGATACAATTAACTAGGTGACAGTTCATTTGGCTTTTCCACTAATGTCCTTTTCTGTTTCAGGATCCAATCCAGGATACATTGTATTTCATTTTGCATTTTTTTTAAAGCTTTTATTTTTGTTTTGTTAATCCTCACCAGAGGATATTTTCCCATTGATCTTTTAGAGCAGTGGTTCTCAACCTTCCTAATGCCGTGACCCTTTAATACAGTTCCTCATGTTGTGGTGACCCCCAATTTCATTGTTACAAATTGAACATAATTAAAGCATAGTGATTAATCACAAAAACAATATGTAATTATGTGTTTTCCGATGGTCTTAGGCAACCCCTGCGAAAGGGTTGTTTGACCCCCAAAGGCAGGGGTGGGCAAACTTTTTGACTCGAGGGCCACAATGGGTTCTTAAACTGGACCGGAGGGCCGGAACAAAAGCATGGATGGAGTGTTTGTGTGAACTAATATAAATTCAAAGTAAACATCATTACATAAAAGGGTACGGTCTTTTTTTTAGTTTTATTCATTTCAAACAGGCCGAATCTGGCCCGCAGGCTGTAGTTTGCCCACGGCTGCCCAAAGGGGTCGCGTCCCACAGGTTGAGAACCACTGTTTTAGAGTGAAATAGAGAAGGAAAGACAGAAACATTGATGTGAGAGAAACACATTGATTAGTTGCCTCATGCACATGCCCCAACCAGGGCCTGGGCTGGGGAGGAGCCTGCAATTGAGGTATGTGCCCTTAACCAGAATTGAACCCGTCGGTCCGCAGGCCGACACTCTATCCTCTGAGCCAAGCCAGCTAGGGCCATTTTGCACATTTTTAGTACCTAGTATTTTGCCAGGAATATGACTACAAATTGAGAAGTTTGAACTGCATTGGTTTAACTTCAAAAATTTTTAACCAATTCTAAATTAACTGATGACAGTGCCACTTACAGATGCCTTGCTAATAGAGCCCCTTCATATTGATGTGTTTTTATAGCTGTTACATTCACAGTGATTCCATTTATAGGGGCCGATGTCTGATGACTTCATTATATCGGTAATGACACCTGAGCATTGGTCTGTTACAAGTGTTTGTGTATGTGTGTGTATTGCTCCATATTTTCATTTTATTTGCTAATTTTAATTGTGTTATTTTTTGTGGTTGCATTAGGCCAGCAGTTCTCAACCTTTTTTTGGCATCAGGACCCCTATATACTCAAACATTGAGGACCCCAAAGAACTTCTGTTAAAATGAATATATTTACTGATATTTACCATCTTTAGAAATTAAAACTGAGAAACTTAAAAATAGTAATTGATTTAAAAATGATAAACCCATTATGTTAACCTATTTTTAGGGGTGGAATCCTATTTTCCTAACAAAATAGTAACATTTTTGCAAGTCTTTGAAATCTTTGGCTTAATAGAGGATAGCTGGAGTCCCATCTGCTTCTGCATTAAATCTGTTTCAATACTGTTGGGGTCCAGCCCCAGCAGGTCCAGGGGTTCCCAAAGGTGTGGACGGAGTCAGCAAAGAAGGAATGACATGGAGTCAGCGTTCAGTTGATCAGCATAGCCAGGTTCTCTCTCTATTGTCCTGTTAAATCTGTATTTATACCATTTGATCCTATAAGCATGCCTCTATAATCACATCATGGTACCATGTTTTGGGTAACCTTCTACAGTCCCTTGTTTCATTTCCATAGTTTCTTATCTGACCTTTGCCAAAAATCCTGTCTTTATCTAGTTCTGTTGATTTTAATCTTGTCTAGGTTAACCTCTGTGTTCCATTATAAGGGCTATTCCAAGGTCACTGCTCTACTGATAGGCTACAAGGAAGTGACTGAAGGAGATTATCCTACCCAGTAAAGGTTATGTCCTCCCAGCCTC